TCTCTTGAGTGCTGGGATTAAAGGCAAACGCCATTACCACCTGGCCAGCCATACCTTTTTACATTAAGAAATAAAAATCTTAAGCCGGGCGGTGGTGGCGCACGCCTTTAATCCCAGCACTCGGGAGGCAGAGCCAAGCGGATCTCTGTGAGTTCGAGGACAGCCTGGTCTCCAAAGCGAGTTCCAGGAAAAGGTGCAAAGCTACACAGAGAAACCCTGTCTCGAAAAACCAAAAAAAAAAAGAAAAAAAAGAAATAAAAATCTTTTCTCTTTTTTAAAAGATGTGCCCTTTAATGGTAGAACGTTTCCATCTTACAATCTACAATCTAAGTTTCTTCCATATACACTTCCTCTTGCATTTCCCCTTCTTCTCCCACTACGTATTCACCTAAAAAGCCACCATAAAAGCTGAGAGATGGTCCACATGGGAAAGGAGAACGGCCAGGCATTGTGAGCGGGTAGGTAGGAAGATGGGTAAATGAAAAGTGGTTCAGGTCAGAAGGCTGGGTGCAAGTGAGGAGGCTGAGAAGAAGTCCATTTTGGAGGAGGGGCACAGGCTGAGCCTGTGTGTGAACAGATGCTTCAAAGACTAGTAACGGATATCCTGTCCCCACTAGGTGCTGTCCTATATCAATGGAATTTTGACAAAAAAACCTCGACTATCCCTTGTCCACTCTATCTCCTCACGGAACGTGTCTCTGAGGCTGGAGGCCGTCCAGGAGGAAGACTCTGGAACCTACCGCTGCTTTGTCAATGTACAGGAGAGTGACAGCGCAGGCCTGGGTCACAGCAGCAAAAGCCTAGAACTCAAAGTGCTGGGTGAGTAGAGAGGGTACCTCTCCGGATCCCTTCCCACCCTGGCACAGGGAGCTCAGCTGGGTCTCCCTCTCCAGTGGCCAAGTAGAAGACCTGGGGATGAAATGTGGAATGACAAAAGAGAGTGGGGGGACGGGAACCTGTGGGTCCCTCGGGTCTGGATTTTAACCCATCTTCCCTTCTCCAGTCCCTCCAGCTCCTCCATCCTGTAGTTTCCAGGGTGTACCCTATGTGGGGACCAATGTGACCCTGAACTGCAAGTCCCCAAGGAGTAAGCCTACTGCGCAATACCAATGGGAGAAGCTGGCCCCATCCCCCCAGGTCTTCTTTGGACCAGCCTTAGGTAAGGGAATTTCTGGAGGTCACTGACACGGTGACTGAAGATGGGGAAGGATGGGAGGTGTTCCACAGGCTGGGGTGACAAGGGTAGGCATGACAGAACGGGACAGGAGGAAGACGTGGAAAGAGGGCGAGAAGGATGTCCTATTAGGTGGAGGTGCTGTATGCGCGATGCTCCCACGAACTTCCAAGTACACTGTTACTGTGGTCTGGAGCTAAACTGCCTGCCTCACATTCCAGTCCTGCCACTCAGTAACTGTGACTGTGCTCCCATCCCCCATTTCTAAACTGAGATTTATACACACCAACGATGGAAAATATCTCTGTGTGTGTGTGTGTGTGTGTGTGTGTGTGTGTGTGTGTGTGTTGCTGGCAATTGAACTCAGGACCTTGTACATGAAAGGCAGGCACTCTAACACTGAGTCACACCCCAAACATCTTTGGTTTTTGAGACAGTCTTACTAAATAGCTAAGGCTGGCCTCAAACTAATCCTTCTGCGTTAGCCTCCTGAGTGCTAGGATTACACCGCTATGCTCAGCAACTGGAATATTTTAAATATAAGCATTAGATAATTTTAGAAAATCATTATTAATTGTTGGTTTGCAATAGTTTTTTGATTGTATAAAATAACAGGAGGGTTTTTTGTTGTTGTTGTTGTTTGTTTCTGTTTTTGTTTTTGAGACAGGGTCTCACTAAATATCTCTGGCTGTCCTGGAACTCACTCTGTAGGCCAGGCTGACCTTGAACTCACAGAGATCTGCCTGCCTCTGTCTCCAAAGTACTGAGATTAAAGGTGGGCACCACTATGCCCAGCTCAATGGATATCATTTTTGAAGCTATATTTTGAAGTATTATTGTAAATATTTTAAACAAGTTATTAGTGTGTGTGTGTGTGTGTGTGTGTGTGTGTGTGTGTATGATGGGTGTGTGAGCATGTGTGCCATGGCATGTGCTTGAGGACAATTTCGTGGAGTTGGTTCTCTCTTTCCACTTTTGTGTGGGTTTCAAGGATTGAACTTAGGTGGCCAGGCTTGTGTGGCAAGTGTCTTTACTCACTGGCCCCAAAATATTACTTTAAAGTGTCAGTGGGGGAATAGGAAGAAATACATAAGTATAGCAGTGTTAACAACTGCTGGGTGTAGGTGTGGGTATAAATATTTTTATTTCTCTCCTTTTCTACTTTCCACTGGACCTATTTATTTTATTTTATTGGTGCTATAGATGGAACCCAGGATCTTTCACACACTGAACATTGATTTTACTACTGAACTAAACCCCTGGGGCCCATTTGACTTTCTCCCTCAAATATAAGTTGAGCACATGTGTGGAGGCCGGCTCTCAACCATGGGTGTCATTCTCGGGAGCGATCTGCTCTAGTGTTTGAGACAGCGTCTCTCACTGGGATCTATGGTTACGGAGTTGGCTAGCATGGCTGGCCACCACTTTAACTGAAAGATTTCCTCAGCCCCTCATTTGAGCATTTAAAGAATTATATAAGAATTTTAAAAGGGCACCGTGAATAGGTTTTTTGTGACTGTTTGATAAGCTAGTACACTTAAAGAGCCCAGGCTGGCCTTCAGCACAGAGTCAACAGCCAAAGGATCAGAATGACAAATCTTTACAATCTTCTCAACCCCACCAGGTAAGGATCATTGTCCCCACTTCACAGATGAAGAAGTGGGGACCCACAAGGGTCACATGAGGTGTTTGAGACCCCAGTTTTTTTAGTTCCTACTCAAATGTTCCTTCTGTCCCCTCCTCTCTTCACATTGCCTTTCAGAAACAAATGTCAAAATGATGCTTTGATTTTCTGTGTGGCACTTCCGTCTAGACATCAGTTGGAATTACTGAGGAATGGAAATGGAGCAGGCATTGAGCTAGCCTCTCTGCAGAGCCCAGAGTGCTGCCACAATGCTTCCTGCTCATAAGGCCACGGATAAGCAGTGACTTTCAGAGACTAGAAGAGGGCATTCCAGAAGTAGGGCATGGTATATGTTCTCTTAATGGAAAAGCTGGCTCCTCGACTGATAGCTAAATTGCATCCGTAGATGCTGTCCGTGGATCCTTAAAGCTCACCAACGTTTCCACTTCCATGTCTGGCGTCTATGTCTGCAAGGCTCAAAACAGAGTGGGCTTTAGCCGGTGCAACGTGACCCTGGAAGTGATGACAGGTCAGTGAGGGGTAAGTGTGGTGAAGAAGTACGATCAGTGGATGGCTTTACAGGAGAGGAAGACGCCTGTCTGATGAGGCTTCTCATTGAATCATGACTGGGAACTGGACATGGCCAAAGGCCGGGACAAATGTTTGGTCACTGTCCAGCCATTTTCCACTTGACTGTCCTCTACCCCCATCCTAACAGAGAAAAGAGGGGAATGTAATGAGTAGTGGGACTTGAGGGGATGAGGGGAATGTAATGGTGATAGCTGAGTAGTGGGACTTGAGGGGATGAGGAACAGGTAAGTGTCCCCTCCTCTGACACTAAGGGTTTTTCAGGATCTAAGGCTGCTATGGTCACTGGAGCAGTTGTGGGCACTCTGCTTGGGTTGGTGCTGCTGGCTGGACTGGTCTTGTTATACCAACGCCAGAGCAAGACCCTGGAGGAGCTGGCCAATGATATCAAGTAGGTGTCCCTGATCTTTGAGGAGGTGGGAACTCTTGTGACTCCTCTCTGGAGTCTGGGAATTCAGGCCTCTCCCATTTTTAACGGGAAGGTGGATGGTAGCCGTCACATTCCTAAGAGAAGATTTAAAGGAAGAGAGCAAGGGATTTGATGTGTGTGGAGGGGCGGTAAGACAGACATGTGGGACTTCTTTTCCCTTTTCTCCTTTTGGCTTCTGATGTGTGACTTATTTGATGACCAGGGAAGATGCCGTAGCTCCCCGGACTTTGCCTTGGACCAAAGGCTCAGACACAATCTCCAAAAATGGGACGCTTTCCTCCGTCACCTCAGCACGGGCTCTCCGGCCACCCAAGGCTGCTCCTCCAAGACCTGGCACATTTACTCCCACACCCAGTGTCTCTAGCCAAGCCCTGTCCTCACCAAGACTGCCCAGGACAGACGGGCCCCCACCTCAGGCTGTATCTCTGAGCCCAGGTGGGGTTTCTTCTTCTGCTCTGAGCCGTATGGGCGCCGTGCCTGTGATGGTGCCTGCTCAGAGTCAGGCTGGGTCTCTCGTGTGATGGCCCAGGCACTCATTGACTAAATCTGGTAACTCACCTCCTTGTAAAGGTCACCTGTGGTACAGAGGAATGAATCTTGGGGGGATAGCCACACTCTAGACCTCCAGTCCTCTGCCCCTACCTCCTTTTATTGTTGGAAAACTAAAGTGGGGGTCGAAGGAGAAACAAAGGAAATGGACCTGAGAAGTGGGGGTGGGGGGTGAGGGGTGGGGGTGGGAGTAGGGTGGGGTGGGGTTCCACGGGGGAGGGGCGCTCCACCTCTTCCCTGCTTCTCTCTGTGAAGCCAGATGAACGCGCTTAGACTGGCTACCCTCCAAGGGCTTTGGAGGAGACCGCCATTAGTGAAGCCGCTGGCTCTGGGATCTGTACAAACACCCCATCTGATGCTGTCCTTTGCCACCCACTCTAGCTCCCTGTATTGATATAACCTGTCCTGCTGGCTTGGCTGGGTTTTGTTGGAGCGGGGGATAAGGAAGACTTTTTTTTTTTTAAACTAACTTGAAATCGGTGTTTTTGTTTTTATTTTGCAAATTTCAATAAAGATACTTTGCATTTTCACGAACTAGTAATCCAATCACTTTCGCTAACCCGGGCTTCACAGAAACTGAGTTGCGGGAGGCTATGAAGTTGATCCTGCCTCCTCAGGTTGTGCATCCAGGAGCCTTACTACAACTGCAGGGAATACTGCCTTATGGTTCTTCTAGAGTCTGCAGAGGGGCCATTCACGGTCACATGCAAAGGGAAGGTGCCAAGAACCCGGGGCTGCCGAGCTCCTCACCTCATCTGAACAAGGAGGTGACGTGAAACTGGGGCACTTGCTGCTGGTGCCCCGGGCTTGGGTCTCCATACCGCACACTGCATTGCTTTTCCTCTCCAGGGTGAGGTTCCCCTGTGTTCTCTTTCCCATGCCTCTGCATCCTTAACAAACACGCCTTCCGACTCTCCGGGTAGCAGTCCCCTTTGACAGTTGAGAAGACTTAGGGTGTGGTACAGGTTGATGTCCTAATACCACCCTGTTCTTTCCTACCCAGAGTGGGGTCTTCGGACCTCAGTTTCTCTGTCCCCAGTGATTGTCCAATGAAGAAGTGGGTATAGTTTCCCCGGAGAGACTCTTATTTACCCCCAGCAAGTGGTGGGAAGAGAATGTCTGAAGAGTCCCGGACAGCTTACTCCCAGGGATGGATGCTCACTGTCTTTGGCCCCCAAGGTGACAGCATCGGCCAGTGGGTATCAGAATGCCTTCCCTCCTGACAAAGACACTTCCTTGCGGAGTTCCAGTTCTGAATCTTTGTCTTTAGGGTGCCCTCCCCAAGCTCAGCTCCTTCTCCAGGGCCTGAAAGCTTCAGAAATTAGGGGGGAAATTAGGGAGGAAGAAGTATCCCATAATCAGGCCTGGAGGAGGGAGGAGCATTTCCCTTACCTGAGGGTGCCCGCCTCTGCCCTTGTTTGCTCTGAGATAGGCAGTCTCTCTCCTGCCCAGCACAAGGCAGCTGCCCTTCGGGTTTTCCTAGACCCTCACGTCCTCCAGACTTACCGACCACAGCACCAGGAGACATGGCTTGGGCCCTGGTGGGGGCTTTCCTCTGCGGACCCTTGCTGGGCTTCCTGTGCCTGAGCGGTGAGGAGAGGTGGGGAGGGCCGAACCCAGGCGACAGAGAGCTGGGGGGAGGGCTGGGCTTCCCTGGCCGGCTCAGTCCATTAGGCCAGGAGCCATTGTGCCAGGCTGGGAAGGGGCCACTGAAGGCGGGGAGGAAGGAGCAGAGAGGCAAGCTGGCCAGCTAATGAGTTCGGCCTCTCTCACCATCTAAGGATTTACCACTGCAGGGCCCTTTCTTGCTTCCTTTTCTGTCAATACATCCTCATTCCTGGCCCAGTCTTGAACCTTTTACCCACAAAAACCGGGCTGGGCCGTGGGCTCCTCCCTCCCGGAAACCTCGTTTCAGGAGAGAGGGGGTTGAATTGAAGGAGCGGGGTTGCGTCCTGGCAAGGGAAGCCCCAGCCTCTAACAACCACGGTAGTGTAGGATAGACCCTCCAGATCAGTGGGCTTGGGGTCCTCAGTCCCAGGGCTAGCCGTGGAGGTGACTGTGCCCGCTGAGCCACTGAGCATGCCAATGGGCAAGACAGCCGAGCTGAGCTGCAGTTACAAGACGTCGGTGGGAGACAGCTTCGCCTTGGAGTGGAGCTTTGTCCAGCCTGGGAGGCCCATCTCCACATCTCTTCCTGTGAGTTGAGAGCCGATGTGCCTGCTGGGGTTGGCCGGGGACAGAGGAGTCACCCAGGATGAAGGGTGGGCAGGGCGTTTGCCTCCTGGAGCTTCAGCTAGTTTGGCCCTACATTCTCCCTTCCTTTCCCACAGCTCCTGTGTCCAACCCCCCTAAGCAAATGTAACCCGATTCAGTTATTACGTTGACTGAACCTTAGGTGTTGTGATTGATAGTATAGCGCTATGTATCTATTTATCTATATATAGTATATATTCTGCTGCTAGGCAGAAAAGGGGACATGACTGCCTTGGGCCTCTTCTCAGATTCTGTACTTCACCAATGACCACCTGTATCCCACCGGCTCCAAAGCAGATCGGGCCAGCCTTCTCCACAACCCCCCCACAGGAGGAGTGGCTACCCTGAAACTGACTGACCTCCGCCCCTCAGACACTGGAACCTACCTCTGCAATGTTAACAACCCACCAGACTTCTACACCAATGGGTTGGGGTTAATCAACCTTACTGTGCTGGGTAAGGCATGCTGGGGATGCACCAGCCGCTCTCCCACCCTGTAAGTGTGCACTGACCCTGCCCAAACCCCTCCGTCCTGATTTGCAGTCCAGGTACACAGATGCATTTGGGAGCCTCAAGAAAAAACAACCCCCTCTGAAGACTTTTAATCTAGATGGTCATACTAAAACTCCACCCCACAGTATCTCCCTTAGGGCCTAGGATCGATGTGTCAGACAGAGACAGACAGAGAAAGAGAGAGACAGAAAGAGAGAAAAACAGAGACAGAGAGAAAGAGGGAGAAACAGAACGAACCATAGAGGCGGCAGGGAGCTGAGTCATATTCCACTGGCTCCATCACTCATCCAGGAACTTCCTATTGGTAACTCAGGTTTGCATTCTGCCCCTCCCAGTGTCAGTGACAAAGAAGGGAAAGGCCGAGAGGAACAAAGCCTCCATAACTGAGTACCACATTGTGTTCTCCATAAATCACAGCCTGTTCAAAGCGGAGCAATAAGAAGTTTTGAAAGCAGACAGGGGTGTTTATGAAAAAGAGAAGGCCTAAGATCTGCTGTGTGTCCTGTATATTCAAATATCTGAAGGGCCTTCAGGTGGAGGAGAAATTGTAATTTCTCTTTATGGGGCCCCGGTGCTGAGAACTGAAACCAATCAGTGTATATTCTATTATCAACGTGTCTGGGCTCAGCATGAGGAAGCCTTTTCTAAGACTCAGAATTCCCAGTCGTGGAAATCACTTCCGAGGCATGGACCATGATTTGGCAGAGATGTTCAAACAGGAAACGCTGGACTCAACAGGTCTGGGGTTAGAGGATCACTGAGGGTCTTCTGTGGTTTTTGCAGTGCCCCCCAGTCACCCCCTATGCAGCCACAGTGGGCAAACCTCTGTGGGAGGTTCCGCTGCCCTGAGATGCAGCTCCTCTGAGGGAGCGCCCAAGCCAGTGTACAACTGGGTACGTCTTGGATCTTTTCCTACACCTCCTCCTGGCAGCATGGTTCAAGGTAAGAGCGCAGACCATTGGGAAGATGGGATTGGAGACCTAAGATCCGATCTCTAAAGCCCATGCCCCCACATCAGTTCTTGACTAAGGACCTTTCCTTCCTCCTTCCTTCTATTGATGCCTTCCTGTCTGTCTTCCTGTTGGTGCTTGGGAAATAATTCTAAATGTCCTAATAGCCCGGAAGAGAGTAGAGGGCAGGGAACAGTCTTACTGTTCCTGCTTGTCCACTCATTGGAGATTTCTTAAGGCTCACAAATTGCTTCCAAACCTCCTAGAGAGGAAAGCAGAGAGTAGCATGGACTGGCTCAAACATTTGATAGATCTCTCTGGAGCCTTAGCTTCCTCTTGTTGGTTCCAGATGCCCTGTTTTGTTCTGTAGCTACCTACCATCCCAGTAAAGTCCTTGATCCAGCAAGTCTCCTCCCCCAGATCATTTCCTGATGTGTTCTCGGCCTTGTGAGGCAGTAGAGTTCAGAAAAGTAGTTGGGTCAGCTTAGATCTATTCTGGAGGATGGAGGTTTAGTTCTTAAGACTTTTGCTGCCATCCAGGATCTGAGCTTATCCAGTAAGCACCCCACCTTCCGTTATCACCTTCCTGTACACGTCATTCCTCCTCCCCTGAGAAGGCAGCTGTGTGGGGTGGCGAGGGAGCAGAAGTTGCGATGGCTTTGGAGTTCCTCCCTGGCTCTTCTCAAATTACTCCCTTTCTGAGCCAGGATTCCCACCAATAAGTGGGGTTAGACCTTTCTGGGTAGATTGTTTTAAGGACTAAATGCATGGAGCTTTTGTGGTAGCAGTATGGGCTGGCTCCCTGTGAGTTGAATGCATGGTAACACACTTCCTTCTCACTCTCTAGATGAAGTGTCTGGCCAGCTCATCCTCACCAACCTCTCCCTGACCTCCTCTGGCACCTACCGTTGTGTGGCCAGCAACCAGATGGGCAGTGCCTCCTGCGAGCTGAACCTCTCAGTGACTGGTAGGGGGATGCTGGATAGAGCCTGCGCCAAAGGCTTGCCTTGGGGGAGACTACATGACGTTGTCTGAGGGTGGGCCAAAAACTTCTGCAACTCTGCGGGTCCTGTCTCCCTAGACTCATCGGAAGGCCGAGTGGCCGGAACTCTGATTGGGGTGCTCCTGGGTGTGCTGCTGCTGTCAGTGGCTGCATTCTGCCTAATCAGGTTCCAGAAAGAGAGGAAAAAGGAACCCAAGGAGACATATGGGGGAAGTGACCTTCGGTGAGCAGGGGAGCTGGGGGCAGTGCCGAGGGGAACGAAAAGATCTTGGGCTCAAAGTGGATGTCCTCAGCCTTCAAGCAGATGTCATTAGAAGTGTTGAGGGGCGGAAGTTACTGCCAGCTCTGGCAGAGGATGGAGGGATTGGTTCACAAGCTAGGCTAGGAATGGCTCAGTCGGCAGGACTGCCCTGATCCTCCTCTTCACAACGAACATGTGTTTTCTTTCTGTCCCGTTCTTTTTGTTTTGTTTGTTTTCAAGGCAGAATTTCTCTGTGTAGCTCTGGTTGTCCTGGAACTCACTCTGTAGACCAGGCTGGCCTCGAACTCAGAGATCTGCCTGCTTCTGCCTCTCAAGTGCTGGGATTAAAGGCTGGTGCCACCATCGCTAGCTTCTTTCTGTTCCTAGTGTATATATACACACACACACACATGTGCATATATATGCACACACCTCACTTAATGCATTTATGTGTATATATATATAGAGGTACTGGGGGAAGGTGGATGGTGGATGCCAAGAGTTGCATTTGTCTTGAGATTAGTTATTCTGGGTAGGGCAAACACAAAAGACCAAAGCTCTCTTTGTTATATACACTTGGCACTTTAGCTGCAAGACATGGAGTCAGAACAGGGATTGGTATGGCATTTCTCTTTCTGTAGACAGGGTCTCACTAGGTAGCCTTGGCTGGCCTAGACCTCTCTGTGTATTTTAGACTGGCCTTAAACTCACAGAGATCCTCATATTTCTGCTCCCAAGTACTAGGATTAAAGGTGCGCACCACCATACTTGATCGTTTCTTTTTGTGTATGCATGTGCACAATTGTACATGTGTGCGTGTGTTCGTGCAGGTAAGTGCGTGAGTGTGTGGCCAGAAGATAGCCTGGCCTTTCTAGGAAGGCCGTCCACTTTATTTCTGTTTATTTTAATTAATTGTGTGTTCATGTTGTACCTGTGTGGAGGGGTATATGTGTTCTGTCCCCCATGTGGAATTCAGAGGACAACTTTTTGGAGTCATTTCTCCTTGGTTGGGAGCTGACCAAGTAAGCTAGATGGCAAGTGAGCCCCGGAAACCCATCTGCCTCCACCTTTGCAGTTGTGGGGTGACAAGCTTGCGTCTGACTTCTTTTACAAGGATTCTGGGGTAAGGTAAGGTCTTCCTGACTCAAAATGAAACACTTGACTCACTGAGCCATCACCTCGACTCTCCGGACAGGGCTTAAAGTGTGGCCTTCAGATGACCTAGAGAAATCCACCAGGAACTTTTTTATATACTCAGATTCAGGCCATTTCCTGTGCCTCCTAAGGCAAAGTGTATGTGTGTGTCAGGGGAGACTGGGCCTGGACTCTCTTGATTTTAAACAAAGCTCTATAGATGATTATCAGGACAGCAAAATTTAAATGTTCCTGTGTTAGAGGATCACAGTTGCCTGAAGGATGTTTCTAGCCTCTGTATGACTTTGCTTGTATCCTTCAGGGAGGATGCCACGGCTCCTGGGGTTTCTGACCAAGCCTCTGTGAGGGCCGATTCCAGCAAAGGGCTCCTGGAGAAGTCCCCATCCACCAGCACCGTGACGACCAAGTCCAAACTCTCTATGGTTGTCTGACTTCTGATCCCTGAAGGGGTGGTGAGGGGGGGGGGGATGTTAATAATTAAAGCCGTTGTGTACCGTGTTACCTCCTTTTTTCTTTTTCCTGGCGTGGTGAATTCCTCGTGACCCAAAGAACACTACCAGTGAAGGGAAGGAATAGATTTGAAATCCCAGAGATGATGCGGCAAGCAGAGAGTTGGGCTGGGTCAAAAGGATAGGTTTCAACCCAGGTGTCTTTGCACAGCTCCCACCCTTCAATTCCATTTGTTTGGACTCCCATTAGTGGCTTCGTGCAAACCCCGCCCCCCTCACTTCCCATCCCCTCCCGCCTCCCACCCTGCACCCTCCGAACACTTGGACATTCCTCTTTATTGTTCACATTCCAACCCAGTATGGTAACATGCACACGCAGAGATTAAAAACCTTCCAGCCACAACCCCAGGAGCCCAGCGGGGGAGGGGCTATCTGGAGGCAGGGCCGCGGAAGACTCCTCCTACCGAGCCTCCAGGCGCTCAGGAGGCTTTTGCATAAACAAAGGAGAGCGGGAGGGGCTGCTCTCAGGGTGCGCTGGGAAGGAAAAGGGGGTGACAGGCAGGTGTGGGATAGGACTTCTCTTCCCATCAGAGCAAGGGGCATCATCAGACACCATGAAAATCCTCTTCTTCTTTTTCCTAGCCCCAGGTTTAAGGAGTTGAGGCTAGGCTGGGGTGGAAACGGCACAAAGACGCGGGGCGCCCCCTTTCGTTGCCCACAGAACGAAAGGACTTGGTTGCTTTTCTTCTTCTTTTTTTTTTGAGAGTACTTGGGCGACGCATCGGGCGCCCTCTGCAGTATGCGCAGCGAAGCGCACCGAGGCTGCGGAGGCAGAGCTGCATGCTGGGCGCAGGGACAGGTGGGCGTGAAGCAAAAGGACAATTTTGCGAATATGGGGTTTGGGACGAGGGTGGGGAGAAAAGGCGAAAGGGGGCCACGTTAGACTGGAGAGCTAACTAAAAGGGTACGGACTTGGCGACGCCGCTACGAAGCCAGCCTGGGAGAGGGAGTCTCTAGGACGCGGTGGGGCGGGGGTGGGGGATGGGGGAGGGCTCCTGAAGCTGGCTGGTTGGTGGGAAGGAGGGGATCACAAACACAGTAGGTAAGTCTTGTCACTGCGAAGGGGACGCGGCATCCATCTGTCCTCTGGAACTGAGGAGAGAGAAGGTCTGAGGATTGGTCCTCTGCTAGCGCCATCTCCCCACCCCTCCCTTTCCGGGAGTGTCACCCAGACACCCCACCCCTGCTCACTGAGCTGAAATAAGCCCCAGGGCAGGTATGTGAGCGAGCTTCTCCCTGTGCTTAGGGCCCTCGGGTGACTGACTGCGTGTCTGTGTTGGTTCAAATGTGTCCCTGCCGCAGCCTCAGGCGTCTCGACATACCAGGGGTTCCAAAAAGTTATGTTCCTTGGCAGGGAGGGGTTGGGGCAAGCAGAGAGAAGGACTGGGCAACTGGGTCATTTCTCCCACCCAGCATCCTCTCCTACACACTGTTGCAGCTTTGGAGTCGTATTAGTTACCTTCTAAAAACGTTCAGTTCTTCGGTCCAAGGTGAGGCAGAAGAGAGAGAGGGAGAAACAGGTGAACTCTTGGCACGTCAGCATCCTTAGCCTTCTTCCATCCACCAGTCTCGGTATCGTAGGTTCCCACCCTTAACTCCCTCCGCATTCTTCTCCACTCCCAGCCCAACTTTAAACTTCCCCAGCTTTTCCCGAGCAGGCCCGGAAAATGAGAGCCTCCGGCCTGCCAAGCTCTCCAGCCAGCCTCACCTGGCTTAGTCTCCGCTGGGGCCGCCGCCCGCGCCTCCCCGGGCGCCCCCAGCTCCGCCTGGTCCCCCCGGGCCCGGTCCCTTCCGGCCGCACTCTCCGCTCTTTATCTTCTTCCTCGCCATGTGGCCCCGGAAACTCGCCTGGATTTTGGCTGCAGCGGCGTTGGCTCCCGGATCATCCAGCGGGATGTCTAGAATATCGTCGTCTGGCTTGGAGCAGGCGCTCTCCTGAGGATGGGGCAGGGGTTCTTATGGCTGATAAGGCCCAGACTGCGAGGGGATGGGGTAAAACTAATGCCCTGGAGGGTTGAGGGGACCTCGAGGACGGTGGGAGAAGCAGAGTGGGGAAGCCTCGAGGGGCGAGAGGCAGGCGAAGCTCAGCAGTCACCAAGAAGGTTCTGGGCCAGGCGGACACAGAAAGAAGTGCATGGGAGGATGGAGAAAGTCAGCTAACCCTGCGGAAAGCAGCCTTTAGTTTCAGGAGGCTGCGTGGCTGAGTGAGAGGTCTGGAAAAGCGGAGAAAAAGCAGCCGGCACTCCTGAAATTGACCACCCTTTGCTCCGAGCTGCCTCCCGCTCAGAAGGGCCGTTCTGTGTACAGGATCCCCCAGGGAGCAGACACAAGTATCTGCTAAGGAGCCATTTTTCCCCTGGAGTAGTACTGCACCAGCGCTCAAGACTGGAATTTCGAGAGAAGATAGGGCCACCGCTCCTTGATTCAGCCGGGGGCCCGGATTCTGTGTTCACACTGGGCTCGCCATGTCCTGCTGGGCTCCAAGTTGGGCTCAAACACCAAAAAGAGGTTTAACAACAATAACAGGAAAAGAAACACAAGGCAAGAAAGCCCTTTCGTCAGGGTCCTCCTGAGAAGAAAGGAGTTAGGCCAACGGCTACATTCAAGCCCTTACCTTGTTCCAGGTGCAACAGCTCTGTTTTCCCGGCATTTTAATCCTTTCTCAACAATAAAGCTGCGACACTTTCCCACTCTTACTTGAGTTTACCATGATAAAATTGATGAGTAGAATGTCAAAAGCAAAACAAAACAAAAAAACCTACCTAGGGTCCCAGACAATTATCAGTAGCTGGTAGATTTGAACCTTGTATGTCAAGTTCTAGGGTTTATCTTAATGCCGAAGAGAGGAAATGCAACCAGCTGACCAGCTTAGCTTACTCTTTGCTGTAACTGTGGTTTGGGGAAGTTATCTGAGCTTTCCAGGCCTTCACTCTTCTGTTTGAGAAAATCAGGATGGTAACATTTACCTCTCTGGGTTCTGGAGAAGAGTAAATCGCATGGTATCCAGAACGTTTCTGGCATAATCTAGTTGATCAGCAAACAGTAGCCATGCGACGATTGTCTTGTCAAACAATAAGGTGATGTAAAATGATGGATTATGTAAGCCCAAAGTGGTCCTATAACAACAACCTTGCACAGTTTTTCCTAATAATATGTCAGGCGCCATACGATAGCTTGGCCAATGACAGGTCACATCATATGTATGATGGCAGCCCCACATGATCATATCAACTAGTGATGCCATAGCCATCTTAGTTTTATAAATATACCCTGTAATGTTTGCACCATCGTGAAGTTGTCGAATGACACAATTCTCAGAACATATCCCATCATTAAAGAATGTGTGATATAATTAAAGCCCTCTCTATGCCCCAACATCCCTTTCCTTCCCTGTCTTTTCCTTCCTCTCACTCCTACTGTTTCTCAGAGAGCTGTGGATCAAATCTAGGACCTTGTGCATGATAGGCAAATGATTACCATTTAGCTACATCCCTACAGAAGGTGACTTGTGTTCTAGGCAAGCTTTGAACCCACAATCTTACTGCCTCTACCTACAGGGTTCTGTGGGCATGTTTTCATGTCCAATGTCTGTTCCTCTGTCACCCTGCTCTAGGTACGAATGGAAAGGATTAAAACCAGACATGGTGGTCGATGCCTGTACTCTCAGTACTACGAAGCTATGAAGCCCAAGGAAGGAAGATCAAGAGTTTGAGGCCACCCTGGACTGCAGGAGATCCTTTCTCAAGACAAAACAAGAATAAAGGAAGGATGAGGAAGTTGATGATATCAATTTCAAGGCTTAACACTTGCAGCATCAGTAATGACTGGGAGGGATGTTGCTATGATGTCAGAAGGGCATTTTCTCTTCATCTGCCTCCTATGGCTTCGGAGGTTTTGTCTTTGTTTCTTGATGAATAGTGCTCACTGTTTTCACTGTCTCTCTCTTCTCATATTGGGTGGCCATGACCTCATATTGTAAGTTAGTTTTCCTTCTGCCTCATCCTGGTCATCAGCTATTTAATTGTCAGAAATGAGCAGGGTATGAGTGAGGATTCAGTGTCCTCTATCCTTGACAGGTTTGCCTTAGGGACATTAATTAATTAACTTTTTGAGACAAGGACTCCTCATGTATTGGGCAATGTGCAACTTGCTGGGTTGGCCAGGCTAGTCTTGAACTTCCCACAGTTCTCCTGCCTCTGCCTCTTGAGTGTTGGGAATACAGGTGTGAACCACCATACCCAGCCTGTAAGCATAGCTTTCTACTCCAGAAGCCCAAGCCCAAGTTTACAAACGACTCCCCGCTCATCATGTTTCCCCAGCTGTCCTCATTTCCTGGGCCTCAGAGTTCCTTAATTTGTGCTCAAGATGTTTCTCAATCGATTTAAACACAGTTTCAAGGAGTTGCCAAGAGGCTGGTATGAGTGTGGATGGATGGGCCTAAAACATCCTTTGTCTTTTTGTCTTTCTTCGCTCTAGGGCTCTCCTGACATCTTATTCTTCACGTAAAATCCAAATCAACTCCTTTGGGTTTTCTGATTCTCTGAGTGCAAGTCTTTCTTGGAATAGTCTCAGGAAATAGAAAGGCATCTTGAAAGAGGACAGCAAGCAGAAAAGACCTATTTCAGATCCCCTCTCCTTAGTCTTGGCAGCTTGTAGAGGCTGCGGACATGTGGGGTTGAGTGCCCAAGGAGTATTTTCTTATCATCACCAACCGCAGATGCTCCAGAATCAAAACCTGGAAAAAGAAGCAAAGCCACCCGCACAGGGCCTAGCATAAGGCTATGCTGCTCCTCCCTGAGTCTGCTCCCTGGCCCTCTGGCTGGTTCCTTAGGGCAGGAGGCTCCTGGCTGCCCATTGGTAAAACTGGAGGTAAGGAACCCGGGATCCGCTCACTGGTCTTGGTGCTTGGTCTGTGCTGATTGATGTTAGTCTGTGCTGAGGGGGCTCTGAATGAACTGGGGACATCTGGGGGTG